TGAAATTCTAAGTAGCTATCATTCAGCAAACAGACTGAGTGAACAAATAACTGTATTTATTTTTTTCCAGCTGTTAGGAGGTGCTTATTCTTTCCACATGGTGATACTACAGATGCTTGTTTTGAAGGCAGATTGAATTTAGGTCATTATCTAAACTGTGATCATCGCACAAACAATGTCCACCATAAGCAAGGCATTTTTTTTTTTTCTCTCTCCTTTTTTTTTTTTTTTTTTTTTTTTTGATGCTAGACTTCCTGCAGGTGGAGTTGTGATGTAAAGATACTGCATTGACTGCACATATTAGTGGCAAACAGCTAATTTTCACAAACGATAATTGTAATTAGCAATTCAAGTACAGCTTGGCTTAACTTTTGGTCTTACTGCTGTTTTATTCACTCACTGATTAATCAAGCTCTTAAAGTAATTTTACAATGGCTTTTTAATAAGAAGAAGAGCTGCAGGTTAATGTAATAGATGGCACATTTGATGGAATTAAAGCTCTCGATTAGTTTCTGATTACTGCAAACACAATTAATTAAATCATAAAAAATGTTTTCATTATCTTTGCTTTGATGAGAGCAGCAAACCGTTACTCTGCAGTGTTTCTGTAAACCTGCAACGATGCTACTTATTTAAGATAGAGTGGGTGAAAGAAACAACATGTTAATGCATGTTGTTTTCATGCCGTCCACTTGTGCTTCATGGTGAACATCCTGTAGAATCAATATCAATCATCATTTTATGCCTGATTTATGACTGAAGTCTAAATAGAGTCTACATAGCTATCTATCCGGGACATGCATGCATTCATACTGTGCATACATGCAGATAGTATATGCCTCTATGTAGTGCATGAATACTGTTGAGTATGTTCAGCTGTATTGTGTTACACAGAGGGATGATTCTGGCCTTTAGGATACCCTCATTACCCTTAGTGGTATAAATAGGGTGGACAAAATACCTATCAGTATAACCTAATACAGTTACACAATAGCACAAACTACAGCCACCATTAAGTTGAATCAACACCTGTCTAAAACAGTTTTACCAAAAAATGAACATTACAACTAAGGTTGTATTGCAAGATTGTTGTAATAGATTGCATTTGTTGTTAGTTAAGTGTACCTAATAAAGTGAGTGTATAAGCCAAATTGGCTTTCCAATATTTAAAAGATGATTTTGTAGTGTAACAGATAATTGTATTGAATGAGTTTATTACACTGAGCTCTCTCATCTGCTCACATTCATGAGATTCTTCCTCAGGCGTCTGAGTCTTGCCCAAACCTCCCCCCACCTATTTTCCCATCCTTCTAACCACAATTCTTCTCAATCCCTTTTCTGCTGTCACGGTTTTAAATTGGAGTTGGCGTTTTTCTGGCTGCCTTTGTGGCATTGCTACTGTATAAGAACATGCCTGGGGTACTTTGCCTCTCTGATTAGAGATCTTACCGTCGCCAGGCTGTGGCTGTATCAATAGTATAGAATATTCCTCAGATGTCACTCCAGACTCTTGTCTATGCCTCCTTCTCCAAAACCACATTTCTCTCCAGAGTTTCACTGTTACATCATCTCTTGTAATGAATGGAAAGAAAGAAAACACACAAAGGCGAAATTACTCTGCCTGAATGTCGATAACATTTAAGGTCTCAAATGGATTTTTGGGCTTTGGTGTGATAAATTTGAAGCAAAGCAGAAAACCCTTGCTTAGTTCGACTGCAATAGGACTACGTGCGATCAGGAAAGGGCTGATTAGGTAAAATAATGTAGGAATTGTACTGAGACACGAGGGGCTTTTGTACTTAAGAGCTGAAAGTTTTGAATCCTAAAGAGCAACTTCCTTAAGCACTGTAAGCACAATAGGTTTAGTGATTTCTGAGCTCTCAGGATCCAGCGTCTTTTCAATGAGTTTTTCTATTTTCCACTGAATGGAGAACTGTCTGACCTAGGGGCCACTTATAAATGGAGGTGAAACAAAACAAGTTGTGAATGTTACATCTCAGTATAGTGTTCTGTTATATATAGTATATATCAAATTCTCTTGAAGTTCAAAACAGTAGTCGTTCTTATCTTTTCCGTCTTAGATTGATACTGAAGAAAATGGCAAAGATGATTGACAACAAGTGACCTCACACTGATCACCTTTGAATTCAGCAGAGCTTTCAGTCTGCCACAGCAACTCTCAGACACTTATGTCAGCAATTATGTGTTTGTCACATTCAAACAGTGGCTCACAAACAGCATTTAGTTTAGCAGGACTTAATCTCTAGAGTGTCTACAGTTGTCAGTGTTTCAGATGTGCTGTGAACTGAAGCTGAACCTCTCAAGTGGTGGTTTCTGTTGTGCCCAAGGCTTCAACAAAACATTGCATCCCAGCTGGTTCATATTAACTAACCCACACTACAGTACTTGGCTTTGTTTTTCCTGACAGATTTTGTCTGGAACAATGAATGCAGTTCAAGGAGCTGTCATCTCTTTTGAATGTCGAGATTGATCTTCAAGCAGACAATAGTTCTCATTGTCAGATTTTATTTGGGAACAGAGACACATTATCATAATTTGAATTAATGGATTATTCACACATGAAGGATTCTGTTGATAACTTCCTATCGTACAGATTACAGAAACCCCCAGTGATAATTTGCTTTTAACTCAAGAGGTTTACAGTGAATCGTTGTGCATGTGAGGTCACAGCTTCACAGGCCGCGTTCTACTGATGAAAGAATGTGTCAAGTTATTTCTCTTGTCAAAGCAAACAGTCCTGTTGTCTTAAATTAGGTATGGTTCAAGTGCTAATGTTATTATCCATGTGGAAAGAAATGGATGTTTACACGGCGATATGGAAACTAACTGAAATAGTAAAACACTAAGAAAATAATGCTTCCATATCTATACATTTATGAAGTCATTTTACTAAAATATTGCTGTTCAGTGTTTATTTCCACAAAAAAAATCCAAACTAAATCCTCACATGGACCCACACACAGAGGAACCTACAGTTCACTTTCATCTATCTGTTTCTACTCTTTCTTTTTGTTCACCTTTTTCCTAAAGTGGTCCCTACAGCTTTACCTTTGGCACCAGAGCCTTCATTGTAAATCTTGCTTTGTTCCACACCTGCAAACAAATGCACACACAGACTGACACACACACACGTATATATATATATATATATACACACACATACAATACAACAGGCCCTCCAGTGTTATGTTGTGCCTGAAGGTTGTGCAACAAAGTAGTGAAATATTTTCTTTCTTCTGTACCTTTGACACATTTGAAAGTCGCTTGCAGTACGATAAATGCCTAGATTACATACATTTGAAATAGTGAGAATTTTCAAATGTTTTTCTTTTGTACACTGATCTGGACCCTTTCAATCAAAATATGATTCAATTCAGCAGAATGGTTTCACTAGTAACCAAAATGATCACTACAATAAATGTTGTCAAAAACAAAACAATTGATTTTAAACTGATTCATTTTATTTGGTGAGGGTAATCCCCATGACATGACATGCATCTTTATTCACATTAATCTGTACTCACTAAGTATAGCATCTGTCTGGTTTTCACAGCATCCGTTGAGAATGTTGTTCTATCCATTTGAATTTCAGAGCAGTTGTTGAAGGCATGTGGCATTGCAACCATGGAGGTGAATATTGCTCTTGCACTGGTATGGTCCTCGTGCAATTTGATATGAACAATCTGGAAATGAGAGGAGCATTAAAATCAAATCATGACTCTTCCAAGGTTAGACTATCGATTAGTTTTTGGTGCTTTGCTCTGCACAGGCTGTTATTGATGAGCATGCTGTTGTTGAGTAAAAATGAGGCAGGGTTCTATCAGTTCTATGCTGTTGTTGTATGCATATCAGTCTTCATTGCTGTGTGTGAAAGGGATTCTAATGACAGCAATTTGCAGCAGAGACGCTAAGCATGACAGATGTCAAATGTGTGCAGTCGTGTGACAGGTGGAGGAACTCAATAATTAAATGGACAGTTTACGGTAATTCCAAGAGTGGTTATTTTCACCTGCACTGAGAGGGTTTTGGTAATTTAGTGAATTTATCTACACTTCAGCAACCAGATTCTGCCCTAACCCAATTTCCTAAACATCAAAGAACCCTGGTTTCTCTAATCGACGTACAGAAACTTTATTTTCTCTTTCTTTTTTTTTTTTTTTCTTTTTTTTTTGGAACCTGGTGTAACTCGGTTTATGCATTTCCCTGATAAAGACTTCAGACAGGGAAAGCATCACTGTAACAGCAGAGCAGCAGGATAAGAAGACAGATTACATGTAGCGGTGCGACTGAAACCGAAATGTTCACAAAGCAACGAATATGTGTGTTCTACCTCTTCAAATGTGACCATGTTGTAAAAATCTAGACACAGTCATGCTTTGTCAAAAAGCTGTGCACTCTCACTGCAGAGCTGTCCTCAGTGAAAAAGTGTAGTTCCAAAACAAATACTAAAGTTGGTGACTTAATTTAATTTAGATAGCTGCAATAGCAGAAACTGTTGGCCAGTTTTAAATAGTCTTAACTCACTAACTCACTCAACTCACTATAGGTCACAGATTTATCCAACACTAGCACCTATTTTTGTGAGCTCACACTTTCTATGTCACTATCAAAATGTATTTTATAAGGTGAGGTGAAATTAGTATGGCTAATGAAGTCCCATATCAGTGGGGGGTAATATGTACTCCAGGCTTCATTCTCACATCCAATGTAAAACTTTTCACCTTGCATGTAGAAGATGTGCTCAACATTGCATTATTTATAAAGGCTGTATGCTCCAGGCCATTCCATTATGTTTTTTCTCCTGGACCCATCGGACCACCCTCTCTGTGATCTAGGATGTCTAGATTTATAAATGAAGCTGCAGAGATACCTGAGGACTGGCACGTACTATTGTAAGCTCACAGTGAATTACACACAAGGTTCTTAAAATGGTCTAAATTGTCCCTCCTCTTTCTTTCTCTTTTTGTTCATCACTTCAGGCTGTGGAAACCAACCTGGCATCCAAGGACAGTCACTGGGTCTATGCCAATGAGGTGAGGTCAAACACAAACACACTTAAGCACTTTGCACCTGAGTGAATTTAGACTTCATTGTTAGTTTGCTTCTGTCAACACAGAGTGTCTTATGCTGCCAAAGCACGCACAGACACGTGAAAACCTATAAGGCTGTCAGTCTGTACACTTTCATATTCAATTTGTTTAGCAGCACATCATTTGTTTTTATTTTATCTTGGCTGCCTAGGGGACTGGTCCTTTATTTGATATTGTATAATTGCCCTGCCTTTAAGTGTTCATGTTAGTGTGTCGTCCCCCCCCCCCGTACAAATGCTCTGTGTGTCTGACATTGACCTAAATGGACTTCTAAAGTGGCTGTAACAGCACAAAATTCAGGTACACTTTGTGAATACAGAACAGTAGACTGTGTCTTTAGCTTTAGTGCCTCAGCGCTGCATTTCCATTGATTCAAAGTGATTTGGAGATAAAGGGGAGTCATGGGATTGGCCCAATGCTAAAAGCAGTTGATGAAAGACATTAGATAAAAGGTTGCTCCCAGCTGATTTCCCTTGAATATTAACATTACCGTACTTAATAGGAGCTTTCTCTCTAACACACACACATACATCAATGTCCATGTACTTTAATGAAATATCACCTCCTCACTTATAAGAACATCTGAACTTGTGCTCAACATCCAAAACATGACACATATTGATCCATAGTACACAGAGCATGATTAATTTGTGTATGTTCCTCAGATAGCCATGTTGTTTAGGCAACTATCATAGAAATATAAAGATACTGTGGGACTGGGGGGACAACAGAATTTGCTGCTGTGGAAAATTAACTCTTGATACAGAAGTTGAAAAAGCACATGGGCCACAATACATATTAGACTTTAACCAACAAATATTTAATAGTTGTCATTTATACTGTAGTTAGGAATTCACTGTGCAGCATTTCAGTATATGTCAGTAGTTTAAATATTGATTTACAAAAGTTAATGAGGCTCAATGTGTTGAAAACCTTCTGTTATCTGGCAGCCTAAATTACCTCATTTTAGACCATAATGAGTTTTATTTTTTTTTAAATGACGGCCTTGTGTTTTTGAATTCGTTTTCACCATTGAATTCAGCATACACATGACTGAAGTATTGATTTACCACAGCTAATGAGACCTTGGGTTCTTTGAAACTTTTTCTGTCTGCCAGCTTAAGTCATATTATTTCATCGATGCGTCTCCAAAAAGGCATTTGTAGTCTGAGACAACATAATAAGATGGAGACAATAATTCTTAATTTGAAGCAGTATTCACATACAAACTGTTACCACAGACCTGAACCAAGACATTAGCTGTAATTGCATCAGACACTAAGACAGGATGAATTAATGACATGTTCATTTCTGTGGCACTTTTGTGGCTCACTGTAGAGTTATCTCACCCTGGTTCACATTTAAAGAGAAAAGTGTGACTGTTTGTATCTGTGAGCTATGAAATATATCCCCATTCTCATTTCTCTGTCCCTCTGTCAATATATAATTTTCATTTTCCTCTCTTTCTCTATCTCTCTCTCTCTCTCCCGCTCCCTCTCCCTTGCCCTTGCCCTCTCTCTGTCTTTGTAAAGACTGAAGAGATTTTCTCTCTCACAGTAATTTTTGTTTATCCTTTTTTCCCCCCTCTCACTCTATCTCAGCCTTTGATTTCATCACCCAAGATAAACTGCCCATGAAACTGACAATCACCTTCAAATGAGAATAACACAGACATGTTGAAAAGGCTAACAAGAAAATTCAATTACTACTCATGCCGACCTATTTTTCTCACATATTGGTCTTCAGGGTTCTTCTCATGTACACAAGAAAATAGCGTGAAACTTCAGAGCATGTAACTCATCCACCATCTTCTTAAATCCTAATTTTCCCAGAGCACAACAAGAGAGCCCATTTAAATTGAATCCAGACATGTATCTAACTGCAAATGATTTATCTACAATTCTTGCTCTAAAGGGAAACAAGATTTAAAGGAAGGTGCAAAGCTACTTTGTTTTCATTAGCCTGTGATTTGATTTCTAAGACGCTCTTAACATGGCTGATAGCATAAAGAGTCTTAATGAGTTTTTTTTTTTAAAGATTTTTATTAATTCAAACACATGAGTGGACAGATAAACACAGTGATTATCAGAATGAGATTCTTTGATTTGTAGATATGTAGTATGCCTGCGGGCAGTTGCTCTCATTCGGCTGCCTGTTCATGACTGAGTTGTGACATTCATTTACCTGTGTGATGTTGAGGCTCGCTGTCGTCGGCTCGCTGTCGTCAGCCCACCCCGTCAGCTCCCCAGGCACCTGCCAGCCCTTCACATTCCTCACAGTGAAAGCCAGGTCTCACATTTCATTCAAGTCTCACAACAAGTGGTTATGGTAATCTGCCACCAGTGGCAACATGTGGCTCGATGAATGTAGTTGTCAAGGTAGAGATGTGATACGAACACAGAGTGAGATGGATGATGATGATGAGCAAGTATCATCACAAGTCGAAAAACAATAATGTGTAAGGGACTCACAGGTAGACAAGAAGGAATGAAACAGATGCTGGGTCCTGGAAACTATTTTTATTCAGGGCTGTTGTGAACATTACACTTGCTTCATGCAGTAACTTGAAAATTATCAGTACAGTAGCTTAAAGGCTGTGGATCACTTATGGATGCAAGAGACTGATTAAAAAGAATGGATGAAATTGAAGCAGCACAGACTGAGATGTCCCGACCTTTAGTCACTAGTATAGATCAAAAACACAACATTTTTCCATTAATGCAAGTCAATAGCATTTGTCTATAAACCCTCCCTGACTGGTATATGCCATGTTTTTCAAACATGTCACTCCTAATTCGCAATGCAGGCTTTCTGTTATAAATGTATAAATCCAAGCATGAGCTAAAATGACTCAAGTGATGTCACTTTCCAATACTCCCTCCACAGCCACAGATAGGTCAAATAGGTTAAGTGCCTTTGTAGTAAGAAAAAAAAGTTTGAAACACTCTAAAATTTTCTCCCAACATAACTTCTCTTCACTTGCAAACATTTTCAGTCTAGGGAAAATTTAACTCACTTTGGGGAAATATGGCTTCAATCTGAATTTTCAGGCAGAACCTGAAACTTTAGTTATGTCCCTCACTTGTAAGTTGCTTTGGATAAAAGCGTCTGCCAAATGAGGAAATGTAAAAGTAAACCCTGTTAATTATTCGACCATCAATATAATCTCGGAGTCAGCACATTCAAACTAACAACAGTTTCTCTGGTTTATTAGTCCAGAGTGTCTGTAATGCACAAACTAACTTAAAGAGGGTGAGAGAGTATTAGATAGAGCAACTAGAGAGGAAGTGAAAGTAAATTACAGAAAACGCAGGCGGTGACTTCATACTTAAACATTTGCAGCAGGTGAATAACCTGATATGTGGCCTCTACTGGAATGCAGCTGGAATCACGTTTGGATAGAGATGCCACCTACATAGAAGAGAAGACAAGAGTGGCAGTGAGAAGAAGGGGGGCTTCAAGATATCTAGAGGATAGTGTGTTAGGGTGGCTGTGAGTGTGCATAGGCACATATGGCAGTTCCTTCTTTGATTGTGTCTATCTCACAGTGATATATGGAACTGGTCATCTGATTTAATCCTATCTCAGAAAGTATTCCATCTGTCTATATCTAGTCCAAGAGGTCAAACAATGGTCATGGCATGGTAGCAACCGCCCTGCTGCCAGAAAGGCCTGTGGAATCTCCGATTTGGCTCTCCAGTGCCATTAGCAATTCCTTAATTTGATTTTATCATCTCCTTTCTTCAACAAGCTTTGATCTGTCTTTAAATGTAAACACTGGTCCAAGTTTCGGAAATCAGACAAATTTAACAACTAATTTACTGCTGCGAGAACCGAACTAAGCCAAAGTCTTAAAGCTGGAGTGAATATTTGGAGTTTGCCTGGAATACATCACACCTCAGATGTGTTTATCTTGTGTTCTGCTCAGAGACTTCCAACATTAGTTTGAGACTGACACTAATGCATTTTAAAACCAGAGGAGTGGGTTTGAGTGGCACACAGTTCATGAGCCCTAAGGGTATGAAACTTATTCAACACTCAAATGACCAAAATAATCTTTAGGAAAACAGAGAAAAGCTTTGAAACTGGAGTGTAAGAAGTACAGCAGGACTTGATGTGAGTAGAAGGGCGCTGGGATGACAGGCAGGCGTGCGTCTCCCTAAACCACCCACTAAACCAGGGTGCTGCAGCTGCTGGCACACAGAAGGTTGTCTGCATCTGACACTGTCTAGTGGACTGAGATGGATTGCACATCCAGGGAGGATTTGTTGTTGTTTTTTTCCCCTTCGAAGACGGGACGGTGACACCTCAGAATGTTTGATGGATTAGGCGGCTGTGCCTGCTGTGACAGACAGAGTTGACGAGGACAGTCATGATATGACTGATGTCCTGGGTAACTGCCCAACAAGCAACTGAGATGGAAACCCTATTCTACTGACGCAATCTCCACCGCAGCAGCCTGCGGGACGGGAAGGTGGATTACTGAAGTGGCCATTTACGAGATAAAGACATTTTTCATTTAGCTTATTGCTTATTCAAAGTAGTGTATAACATTGCATTTATCAAAACATTGGATTTGCTGTTATGGTCCTTTCCTTTGTACCATTAACGGCGATGAGTATCCACCCAGAAACCCAATTCATATGTCAAAAAATGATGTACTAACCCACAAATGGTGACCACCGGAGACATCCGTTGTCATGGTCATAAATCTAAAGGAGTCCAGACAGGCGTCTCCCTTCACCAACCACCTTATCTAAATGTTACAGCAGTTACAGTTACAGTCATTTAAAATCATTAAGGTTATTAAGTGGACAATTCAAATTACACACCGCATGTTTCATTAAATAGACCAACTGCACCTCCAGGCTGAAATTTAGGTCCCATCATAGCAATAAAACCCTCAACAACAACACATGTATTTGTACAGTTGGGCCTGTCCCTGCATTACTTGGTATGCTCTAAATTGGTCTCATTAGACTATGTTATGAGGATGTAATAGGATAGCTTACACAGGCGCACTGTACTTGTAAATGAATGCAAACTTTTTTTTAGTCAATCTTATCTTAAGTGATAACACAGTCATAATGCTTCTCTCCTCACACTTCAAGTCCCTGTTTTCTGCTGGTTTGATGAATTTCTGCCTCAAAATAAACCAACGTGCACCACAATGGTTAAAATGGCTCAGCTGAGGAGATGTTGATTTAGATCATGTGGTGTAGTGAAATTTAGCATGAAATTACATCGCATTTCCGGCTGCTCAGACCACATCTTGTTGCAAATGGTCCTTCCTTTGTTTCAGTTTCATTTAAAGCCCTTGCCCTTCACGCAATCATGAACTGTGAGTGGCCAGAGTGTTGCTATGTTGTTATGTGCATGAAAACATTCATAGATATGATTAACTGAATTGACTACATGCTACTGAAGTTGTTGGCTTTTTCCCAACATAACCTCACATCATTGCAAACAGACAAGACAACTGAAATGTGTTCATCCCTCTCCAACTTACACAGCTGCTCTCAAAAATGACATGGTCCCACCCATGGGTACGTGACTCACGTTTTGCACTAGTGACTGCTTTTTCAGCCTGGTTCAATAAATTTAAGAGCCATATATTTATGGTGTGCCACAGTTCACAGTGATGCACCCACCATTGGATATTTAATTCATGGGGAAGTAAGAGTGCCACAAAATCAGCAGTCATGAGTTTAGTAATCAGTCTTTTCTGGCGGCGTTTTAGAGCATTAATAAAGCCCAAGTTTAATCATCATTAGTATAACATACCAATCTGAGGCTTAAACAATCACCAAAAAACTGACTAAGAGGTGACTGTTAATACAAGTCTGCAAGTGCACAGTAACCTGAAGCAACAAGAACTGTTATCCACAATATTTTTCCTCTACTGTATATTGACCATTGTCATAAAATGTATTATCTTAGTCCAATTTAACACATAGTATTGTTTTACTACTGCAGCTATTAGTATGTGAATTTTAACGCAAGATGAGACAATTTTAATGTATGTGTTGAATGTGCTAAATACTGACATGGACAATGGCTGTACTATATATTTTTTTATAGACAATATGGCAGCATTGTCTCTCACTGTAATATATGGTTTTTCATATGAATGATGTATTACATTTGTCCTCACTCTGTGAAAAACAAGTAAATATATCATCTTTCTCTCTCCTCTCTTCATCATATGCAGATTCTAGCCGCAGCACTTAATGATCAATTTTCAACACAACAGAACTGCCTGAATAGAACATTGCAGTGATTTAACTGCGCAACCCTTCAGTTCTGCATAATTTCTCAGAGAGTTATCATGTCTATTGTTTGATGTGGAAGAGGAAAGTCTCAATTGAATATAAGGGTTGATGTACTGAAAAGTACACCTAAGATATATCACTCAGAGTCTCACAAATCAGAAAAGGCTTGTGCCCTGTGTTATTTGATGTTTGATATATATTTTTTCCATTACAAAAGGACAACAGGGCACCAGTTATTTGGTCTTGTCATCAGATATCTGGAAAATAAAGTGATCTTGAGGCTATGTTCTGCCAACCTAATTAAAATTTTCTAAACAATGCACTGGAACTGCATTACAAAAAGACATGTATACAGCATGTTTATAGGCAAGAACAACTCAAATTAATGTCATACGCACAGTGCTCTGTTCTTCCTCCCTGCCTCGCCTTACTTCTCAATTTAGTTGCCTGCAGCTTCAAAAACCTTACTTCTAATTAAATCGCTGTCATGATTGTGGGTAAATTTTTTATTTATTTCTAGTGAAAGATTAATAACATTGACGGAACAGCACAAAGAGGATAATTTAGCCTATCTGTCAGCTGAACTTGATTTGATTAATGTATTTTGGAGCTTCGGCTGTCATTGAAACATGGCCATGCTGTATTCACTTTTTCAGATATTTGAGTGGGTTACCACCAAGGAGCTTAACAGCCGAACTGACTGTGGGATAACTGCAGATTCTAAAAGCAGTTATATACTTTTGTCAGTAATAATATTGTTTTGTGACTTAAAGCTATCATAACCACATACAGTACACCATTTAGATTAATCATGTTTCTCTAGTGATTCTAGTGCTTTTAAAAACATTGCAGTCACAGGCCTTGATGTATCTATTCTCTATTCTCTTTATGTGCTAATGGTACACGCTAATGATCATTTTTGCGTATCTATTTTACAAGTGAAATATATCATAGTGCCGTCCAAATTGTGACTTAATGGTCTGTACTTTCTCCTGCGACAGAACTTAAAAGGCACGCATTTCATCAGCCATGTGCCATTGGTCAGTGGCAATGCTGGGTCAGTTTATGACACAAATGTCACCCATGATGGTGACAGAACACTTGGACTGGGTGGCACTGGAAGTTATTAGCTTGGACGTGAGAGTTCGGCTCAGTGAACCGTGCAGCATAATTCATCTGATTAATGTGTCATGGCAACTCATAAATATTCATACTTTCCACCCGACTAACTGTGAAGAGTCCGAAAAAGAGTCAGAGGATAAAACTAGATGAGCTAGAATCACCTGAGGAGTGTTTTACTCACACTGTGCAAAGATGAAAGATCTGTGAATACTGATTCTTGAAGAAAGAATCTGTGTTTTCAATTGAGTTTGCTCACAATAAAGTGGTTTTGCACAGAAAATAAAAAAAATATATATATGACATGAGATATGTGGATGAGAGAAGGTTTTGAAAAAATGTTGTGAACAAAGCAATATTGACTGTCAACTGAAATAAGGTAAACATACAAAGAAAGACTAAGAAAGAATGATGGCAACATAATAAGAGATTTAAATCCACATCAGGATGAATGGAAAGAGAAGACAGAAGCCAGGAGATTCAGTATTAACACTGAGGGAGGACAGAGACCAGCAGTAACATCACAGAGGTCGATGCCAAAGGGAAAGATCAGAATGTCTGATTAGGAAAACAGATAGAGAGCACGGATTCAGGCATGTGTGGTGAAGGATTATATCAACCCAGAGCTGCTTAAGTTCTGACCCGACAGTAACCTCACAGCTTTATTGTCAGATAGTATATGAACCCAGTGTTTCCCAAGAGACTCACTGTCTGCCTCAGCATTGACCATCATCCTGCTCTGGAGACCAGCAGGCAGATCACTGTCTCATGAATATTGATCCGACCCTTATGTAGGTCTCCACTGACTGTCTGCGCATGCATCGCCCCACTCAAGAGGGCCAAGGGTCACCAGCACTATTATTGTGAAGGATATACCTGAAATGTTTGTTGATTTATCTAATGTGAATAACATAATGTGCAAATTTCCTAGAAGTAAATTGTAGCTTAAAATTCCACATATGAAATTAACAATTTATTAAGAATGTTTGTGTCTTTCGGTCTAAAAATTATTTATTTATTATTTATTAGATAATATAAGATAATGCTGGGAGATAAATGATGTGTGAATTAAGCTTTGAATGATCACTGTTAATGTTCACTGGGTTCATGTCCAACAAACGTCAACAGAAAAATAAGACTGGGTGTTAAAGTGTCATTTTCAACCCCAGCCTCTATCAGTTGTCCCCATTGTGCTTGTTGGAATTATCCCCCTTTTTACCACACTGTCTCTTGGAGCTGATTGCTCTATAGCCGCTCAATGTGTCATCTGATATTTTAATTGCTACAGAACCAGGTACAGGCAGCGCAGACCCCTCAGAGGTTTCTTATCCAAATTTCCACTCAGAAAACTGCTTTTCAAAAACTGCAAATTCCTCACGGCACAAAAGTCCCAGTCTGATTTAAAAAAAAAAAAAAAGTGCAAAGTGCCACTAGTCTTTAAACTAAACTCTTCCTGTCATCTTTATCTTCAGGAGGTGAGTGATGCAGACATCATGGAGCTGGTCCATAGCTCTCTGGGGCGGATGACCATCATTCGTCAGATCTTCCCATTATGGAGGGACACCAACGTTCGCTGCATGAGGAACAATCATCGCATCTCCTCTCTGCTCTGTGACCCACAGGAAGGCTATCTGCAGTCCCTGGAGGTAAAAACTGTTTAAAGATTTACTAGCTGGAAGCTGCTGAAGTATTATCCCTCAGATCTTGTTTGTCCATCATTGGTGAATTAGGAAACTTTTTATATTGTGGCAGACAGTAATGCAACATACTCGCATACAGACAGGAAAAAATGTATACATTCAGTTTCAACTTTCTGTGCCATATTTGATTTGTAATTCAAATGATTTCACACTTTGAAGTGGTACTCCGCCACCACCTCCACCAAACAGTCACCTGCTGTATGCTTGAAAGGTGGCTGTAGAAGGTACGTTGTTTCCTCATTGGCACAAATGAGTTGCTGTAGTCTGTTTGAAGGTGAGAGTTTCTCCGGAAACAGGAAAAAGAATCAAAATGTCCCAAGCGAAACCAGACTAAGCTGCTTTTGGTGGAGATTCTGAGCTTTAAGGAGGGTAAATGCACAACATGGAAGCAGTATGATGGATGAGGATGTATTGAATGTTTGACTAGTGGCAAGGCTGTGTTTTTTCTGTCTTGTTTTCTATCCCTTTTGCTGCGAGTATTTATGGGACAGCGAGTTTGTGTTTTAGAAACAACCAGCATGTTTCATCCACTTTCTCCAGCAGCCAACAGGAGGAATACTCGCTATCAACGAGAGTGACAGAACTATAAAACAAGCATAGTGTGGTCTTTTCTGTGTGTGTGTGTGTGTGTGTGGTGTTGTGTGTGTGTGTGTGTGTGTGTGTGTGTGTGTGTGTGTGTGTGTGTGTGTGTGTGTGTGTGTGTGTGTGTGTGTGTGTGTCTTCATGGCAAAATGTGTTCCTGGAGACACCTACTGTGGCAGGAACTACCACAGAGGTGGTTCTGTGGCCGAGTGTGAAGATGGGTGTGCTCCGACCCTTGAGAACTAAGTACTCATGTAATAATGTAGTAATGACTACTACTCATGGGATGCAAATGGTGTGATCCATTGTTGCAAGATGGTGTCCAGGTTCGTTTTGTATGAAGTACAAGTGCTAAAAGGGGTCATGAGCATGTTTCCTGCTTGATCACACACACACCTTACAGCATACAGTATGTATGCAGCCACGGTAAAGGACACTATAGACAAGTATCGGCTGAGCGCCACATGAATACAAATATTAGCTGATAATGTATGCAACTGAATATGGATTAAACTCCCTAGATAAGGTAATTATGAGGGACATGCACGTCCATGAATATAAATGACTGCAGCTCAGTGTGACTGGGGAATAAATGGCAGAACAGAGGAAAAAATGTTTTAAAGTAAATAAAAGCTTGTTCAAAACTGCTTAAAACTGTGAATAGATCCAAAATGTAACAAAAACAATATATTTATGAATTATTTATTAATATTATAATATTACTGACGTACCACAAGTTTACCAAAGGCTTCAAAAGTGGAAAGCACTGTATGCTCTAAAACAGATTATGCTATCTATGATTTGTATTAAGGATTTGTCAACCAGGAACCCAGCCTAAGGTAAATTTACGATGACAATGAGGGTCAATAAAGAAGATTTGCCCTTCTGCACCATCACAGCTTTGTTATCTGTCTAACACAATGTCATTCACTTCTTTGGGTCTTTGTTGTAACCTCACTCACCCTACCACTTATTACTTTCTATTGAGAGTTAAAAAGCACCTCCTAACACCTCTTAGACTTTTCTTTTGCTTAATCCATCTGGAATGAAATAGCTGTGCTCTCTGTGGCTCTATTGAAATGTTCATTCCTTTTTATCCATACTCCGGACAGATGGCAAAACCATGTGGTGTGTGCACCCACAGTCCTCAATAATTCACGTGAAAGAGGGTTAAATATCGGGTAATGGCAGTTAAAGCATTCATCAGAATAGTTAAACACTGAGGTCTCAGTGCTTTCCTCTACTAATCCCTCTCACACACACGCACAGAGCTGTGGTTTGACCCCAGAAATTACCTCAACATAGCTTCTGAGTAAGTGACCTCGAGGCTGGTGAACTATGTGATGTCTTACCGCTGAGAGGCTTGGATTGAAGTCCAAACGTGTCATGAACTGAATGCCTGGAGTGGCAGCTCGTATTGCTTCCATGCATCTTCTGCTGTGGAAGGATTTGACTTGACTTGACCTAGAAGACCTATCAAATCCACTGTCACACTAAGACAGGAGGCTGTGGACATGATTCCTGACAGGATGCACTGCAGTTGGAGGGAGACAGTTGAGCTGATGGCAGCTCTGAAGTTCATTAGAAGGACAGCAGAAGCAGCAATATTTTTTTTTCCCTCTGTTGATTTTACATCACACCACAGTACTGTCAGTGTTGTATCGTACATATCATCTCACATATTATCAGTGCACTCCCATGATTGTTTAGCACATCAACCCCAGTTTTCCTTAAGTGTAAACATATGGACAGTCAGAGCAGAGTTGCTGGTTATGTTAATGTGTCTTTCTTCTGTGTTGTAATGAAAAAAAAATCTGGTCTCGCCACCAAAGGCAGCTGTGACAGTGTCAGACAAAAGGACAAACTGCTCACCATTTGTCCCCATGCTCTCCATCCTCTCTCTCCAAGTAAGGAGACAAGCTTTTTATTCCCTGCTGAGATTTATTTTCCACCATCACAGGCTGAAACCAAACTGAAAGACAACTGCTTTTGTGTCACTGCTTCATTCATACAGGTTCACCATGGAGCAGTGTGATATATGTTTGTTTTCCTTGTTGTATTCAACAGTGTAGTGTTCTGTGGTGCATAACACAAACTACCAACCAAATCCAAGAATACATTTATTCAAATGTTCTGCCTCTTTCCCCAACAGGTATCCAACCTCTACCTGTATGACAGTGTTTTGATGCTGGCCAACGCCTTCTACAGGAAACTGGAGGACAGGAAGTGGCACAGTATGGCCAGCCTCAACTGCATGAGGAAGTCCACCAAGCCATGGAATGGAGGCTGGTCCATGCTGGACACCATCCAAAAGGTACTTGAATTTGAAGTTACCATTTTTTTTCTTGCTTAGCAAAGCTGCAACCCTGTATTTGCTATTCTGTGAGAAATGATGAATCTTCTATCATTGATGATGATAGTTAACTACAAAAAAATGCACAGTTTTATGAGAGGCATAAGTATAACGGTGGTTTATAAAGTGAAAGCACGACTTAGAAAAGTCTATTGAACTATGATCCCTGCTGGAGACTCCTCATGTTCAAATTCATTTACTTTTAAAACACCCTCAAGGAATCTGATTATTGAATGTGATCTCCAGGTTTGGCCTCAGGATGGATTTGTAGCGGATTCTGGGCTTTTATCTTTGTTCTTGTCTAGCTCTCTGTTTTCATATTGGAATAAGGCCACAAATACTAGACAGTAGCCTTGATTTCAACCATTTCAGTCTGATAATGGATTTTTTCATTGTTGTAGACAGTCACACTGGTTTAATCTCAGCTGGGACATGCTGGAACAAAGGTTCTCTCATCACATTGTTGTGTTGGTGCCATTCAGACTGAACTGTAAATGAACCTAAATCGATCTGATTCCTGTTACAGTTCATACTTCTTTTCAAAATGCACCAGAATTTTTCATAAAAGGTCTCAGCAACAAAACAACATTTATCTTAAATTATTTAACTTCTTTTTGTACTTTACCTACAAGCCTGGTTGAATGACATGGCACACATAAATCATTCTTTAAATGGTACATTTAAGGGATGATTTGCATAAATCATATGGTATTAACTTGAAAACTTCCGTTGATGATTATGTACTGTAAAATGTCACAATCCAGATAAATCGATGCAAACACTTAATTGTATTAAATTGTAATGAAAAATGTAATGTGCAGAGGGGTTGTTATGTACTAATTAATGCCTGCAGGCTTTCCTTTGCCTTTGCAACACCTAAAGATTAGAAACAGAGAGTAAATAGGAACATACAGTAAATACTGTCTGCTTGTTGTTGCTGTAGGGACGGATCAGTGGACTCACAGGACTGATGGACTTTCGTGCTGAAGGTTCTAACTCTCATGTTCAGTTTGAGGTTCTTGGAACCAGCTACAGTGAGACGTTTGGGAAAGATGTGAAACGGGTGAGTCCAGAGTATTCTTTTTTGCATTTTGTTTGTTTGTCTCTTCAGGACACACCTCATGGGACATTTGCTAACATGTTTTGAGGTTTTAGGCCAAATTTTACAGTGTGGCATATAAATAAACAGATAACGTTAAAATTATAAATTATGTGCAAATACTTTGTTTTATGTCCCAGTGGGAGATTCAGTAATAGTGGGTTTTGTTTTTTCTCATTTCAGAATGTCAGAAATAACAATGTAGCTGCTATTTGTTAGTGTAATGCATTCCACAGCAGGGTGCCCCAACTTTCTCATTTCACAAAGCAACTGCGCTGTGTCCCAGTAATATACTGTATGCATTAGACCACAGACCACTCAATTACAGCATTTGTATAGAAGTCAGTTTTATAAGCTTTTTGTTCGTCAACGTATTTGCATGAAGTTCATGAAGGGAACAGCAGGTACTGTGAAACCGCTGATGAAAGTGGCTTTTCTTCTTTCTTAGACATTGTCTCGATGTGACCACGTACTGTGTGAGGGGAGAAAAAAGTGAAATTAAACTGTTTCTCATTATCTCAAGGACCCCCTGTAAACTTCTTAAGTTTAGATACCAACTTCCAGTCCTTGAGAATTAGTGTCCTGCAGGTTTTTGTTCCTATATAATAGTAGGTTTCCCACACCTGTTAGGTAGATGCATTACATAACAGGTGTGGGCTACCAGGGAGGAACAAAATTGAGTTCCACCTCTACTAGAAACCCTGGATATCCAGTGGAGTGACTGATATGAACAAGTACTGACTGTACAGAAGGCTTTGAACTGTCAATTGTTTTTACTGTCTTGTTGTTTTTTATATAGAGCTCTGGTTCTCAGCCTTAATCCTCAGGATCCAAAGCCCCGCTATTTTTTGTTTCTTTTGGATGTCAGGCAATTACCTTAGTGGTAGAATAGAAAATCAGGTCCATTCTGAGACCTGTGGTCACAGGGTTTAACATTTGACAGTGAGGTGTCAGGTATGAGGGTGCCCTCTACTGGAGCTCCTGAATTAACCCGATCCCTCTCCTTCAATCTTCCATCTCACAACATCACCCATCTTGGCTTGTGAGGTGTCATCTCAAGTTGAGTTAAAACAAATTAGATGTGTGCTTCTTACTACTAACTGTACACACAAACAAGGAGAGTTATCCATGCCCAAGTGCTGCACTCAGGCATTTTCATATTTTACTAATAATGAGTAGGATATCTGAGCTGACCGTTAGCACTCGGATGAGAAACCTTTTGAGTGTCATAGAGCTGAAGTGAAGGATGGAGAGCATTATTTGTGCACTCTTCTCGGAGCCGTAATTTGTTTGTCGCTGTGGATGTCCTGATTCAGTCAGGGACTTCTTGCAAAATGAAGAGAAATTGAGTTTCTTGGCAATCTATGTAGAGCAGGACTGACCAGAAGCAGTAATGAAGATTTAATCACCACTCAGTCTAACTGAAATCATGAAGCCAATTCATCATAATGTGGCCATTAGCATTAGCTAGGAGTAGACCCACTGCACACAGTGCCATGTGTTTACACACACACACACACACACACACACACACACACACACACACACACACACACACACACACACACACACACACAGGGACATACATACACATTCATGTCCAACAGTCTGGCATTTATACAAAGGAGGATTCACATAAACAGAGGCGACCCAAAGTGCATTCACACACAAACCTGTATTGTACACACTGTTTTGGACCTGAGACATTAAGAGAAGGCAGCCAGGCAAACAGAGAACAGAGGCCAGGGAGCACACTAACATGTGGGCGCTTGTATCTCAAAATCATTAGAGGCAAAAGGGGACAGCAAGGCCAGATAATGGGATGCCAAATGCATTCAGTGTTGTTGTTCATTACCTGGCATGTCTATCTGCGTGTCTGCCCAATACTTGGCAGAACTATTTACCGGGGGAAAACACATAAACTCATGTACCTTTCCAGTGTGTTTCCCTATAATGGATTGTATATATATGTATTCAGCGTTTTCCATTCTCTGTGTTGTGTAAAGCTGGTGTGTACCATCAAGAAATGCCACACCATTACATGGTTTCCTCTGCAATGTACTGTAATGTCATGTTTCTTTTTGAGTGGAGTCGAACTGGGATTGCATGTCCTGCTCCACCCCCCGACCCACATCCACCCATTTAGAGGCATCCTCATTTTGTCCCTTTTCTCCCCTCTCTTTTATCTTTACCTCTCATCTCATCACCCATCCACTGCATCCTCCTCTCTCTGCTAACTTCTTCTCTTCCCTAACCCTTTCTCCTCATTTTTCAGCCCTGGTTTCCTCCCTCTCCATCATCGTTTATCTGCATTCGGTCCATTTTCTCCCCAGCCTGATGGCTCTTAGATGAGGCGTCTTTCTGGTTAGAAACTGTAATGAAGACTGAAATACTATTTCCTGGATCGCTACTGTGAGTTTTCTCCACCAGCCAGCAATGCTGCAGAGTGATCGATGCTGTTGTTGTTGTTTTGGTTTCCCAGTTTGCTCTTATTGATGTGTCAGTTCGTCTCTAAGCAGATATTGCTAATGACTTCCAGCTTACGCGAAGCTCTTCATAGAGAAAAGTCAATTCATTTCAATGTAATTGTTCCTCCTTGCATTTGCTCTTGCATGCATCCTGCAGTAGTTATCTCTAAACATGTCCAGAGTAACAGCGTTGGCATTATTTTATTATTCAAATTCACATCTTTACTATTTTATAGCAAAAAAATATTACCCTACTACTGTATGGCTGCTTGTTATTGTGAACAGCCTCTGAAAGGGCAGCTCCAAAATTCTCCTCATTCAATTTTCTGGTCACAAAGCACATTTTTCATAAAAGTATAATATACAGTATACATTAACACTCACATGCCATGGATGGCATTTCTAAACAGCCTTACCTGTGCTGGAAAAAATGTATGGCATGGCTGCCTGAGACATGTGACTGTGCCATTGGCCTTAGAAATAGAAAAAGTGAAAAACAGCCTCAGATTTAAAAGTGAAAGGATTTTTCTTTACTGTGGTGGTGACTCAGTCAGCTACCATGCCCTGTCAGTACAATGTTTTAAATTTACGTCTGGGATTTCTGTTGCTCATTACATGCATCTTTCCATTTCCTTCCAGGCAGTCAAAATGGCTGTCTCATCAGCGGCCTAAATCTTGGAGATTTAGAGAACAGCTTTGCCAGGTTGAAAGAGTAACACTCCAGAATAGATAAAGTACATCCATCCAATTCTGGTTTCTAACATTGTAGCCATGTATCGACCAGAGCAGGCTCACATTTTGTTGTCTGGTGCTAGAACAGAACCAAGTGTCCTGACACTTGGTCACAATCGACTCGACTCTTGTCACTAGTGTCGGGTGATAGGAACCAAGCTTTCTTACTGGCCATCATCACCTCTTCAGCCTCTGACAGTTGACATCTTCGTGTGTGTCACATTGCATGTTGTGTCTAGAAAACTGCAGTTGTTGATAGCTGATGTATTCATCCTATTCCTTAACCCTGTTTCTCACTGGCTCACAAAGTGGAAATGGCTCTAAAGGGCGCTTCCCTCTTGCCAACAATAGATCTGCAGGGGGTTGATAGGGCTGTTGATCTAATGATTAATTTGCCAGGCACTGAGAAGTCTAGCTTTTTGAAACTCACTTTCTGGCTCCTATAGTGTTTTGAATCCTCCCCTACTTACTTGGATTTTCACCCACAGGAAGATTAATAACAGCACCATGAGCCAGAAACGTGCATTTCACAAACAAAAACAGCAAACAAGAGAGCAACATTATCATTACTGTATTTTGCACCATAATAAAACATTTATACATTTCCACTAATTATTTTTATAATTTCTGTCATTAAATAATTATCCATCTCTAAAGTGATAATTAGATTTTTATATTTAATTATTTCACAATCCGCTGTAAGCAGTGCCAGACACCTGTTTTTACGGTCGACAATCAACATCAATAAAATAAACAAATTACTCTAAGCTCCTTTACCATGTCCAATTTAGCAGTGTAGAACACAATATGGCTGGTCAAGTGATTTTTCCACATATAACTACGTCTCAGCAACATTATCATTTTGTAACATGGTAATACTGTAATATGTTGAACTGTAAATGTGTGCAAATTACCTTTTCTCACAAGAGTCCGCTTGAAAAGGAAAGCATTAACCGTCAGTACCCACTTAGGGTTGTTCCTGCTTCCACACTGGCAAAAAGGAAATCCTCTTGAGAGTCTCAAATAATTGGATGAAAAGTGGCTAATATTTCTTCACATCCCTTAATTTGTTCTCTCTCATGTGCTCCAATCCATCATAAAAACAATCCTGAACAAATGTTACCAACCATATAGCCACTGAGTTCATTTAAATGCACAACATCACTGATGGTACCTGCTCTTTGTTGCTCTCACTTCACAAGATGAGGTAAAAAATCATTTTCAGTTCATAAGTGGGTACGATGAGTTGTAAACAGAATCTGTAATTCTTTATTTTTTAAAAAATTTTTTTAAGAGAACTTCTCACTTTCATATGTTAATTTTTAGTCTTTGCAACAATATTTTTGAAGCCTACACTGTATGCAATGAGCCACCAGATCTTTTTTTGTCTCTCTTCATCTCTTGCACGCAGTCTTTTCGAAGCAACACAACATTTTACTCTGAAACAGACGGTAGGATAGAGGATAACTCCCTGTACACGGCACTGATCCAACTACTGATACAGATTTTGTGCCTAGTCTTTTCTTCAAGGTACCATGTTGTATTTAAAACCACACATAGGGAACATGTGCAATGAATAAATGTGGGAATGAAAGAAAACGGGAAAGTGGGATCATTGTGAGCTTTTATTTTCCCACTTTTTATTTTAATTTCACTTTCTGTGAGTGATTTCAGTTCCATAGAGGAATGAACTCTCTTCCTGTTCTCATGTTCGTTTTCCTTTTGCTCATTTCTGTTCCTCCTCATCTCAATTTTACAGGTTTTTATTCTTTTACTCAGTTGACCATAGTGGTATAAAGTCAATCCTGCCTCATGTTGAGGGTAGAGTGATAGACTAATTGAAATGGCCAGCTTATATTATAGATAACACCCCTGGCACTACTCCAGCCTGGAACATATGTACTGTATGCAGCAAACACAATATAATTACGCGGGTGTACACCTATGCATGTATATTCATTAAAGACATATATACGGTACAAATATATGTTGTATTATATGTATATGTAAAATTTAGTAAGAATAACAGTGGATTCTGGGACACATGCAGTGACACACCTGACACATGACATAAGCGGTAAATAAGGCAGGATGTTACAACGTGACGCATATATTCCACACACTTACACAGGCATCTTGTGAGTCCGGTTAGTATGGCAGACAAAGCAGTGAGGGTCAATAAGAGGCTTGGTAGCATGATGGGCTTGTCAATATGTAAGCACCTGATGAACTGAACTAGCAGAGGAAAAGGAAACGCAGAATAGCTGCAACTAGCTCAAACTATAGTTCCACATCTATAATGACAAAGTGTAAATGGTTTTATGAAAGGGAACTGAGTGCTGGCTGGGATTTTTTTTTAGGAAACGCTGTAATTGTGGCGCTATGAATTCAGGGCTATTTGACTTCCATCCCTTTGTTGTTTTCAAACGGTCATTGGCATTTACTCAGCCCCATTACAGATGATTATTTTAAGGTATTAAGCGTCTTAACCATTAGCTAAAGAGCCGCCTTGTTATTGTTGTGACTTTTTAAACAGGATATTTCAAAATCTCATTAGCACGATATTCTCCATTGTACTGGAGATCCAGAAGGAAACAACTGAATGTTTTGATCTCACTTACAGTAGGTACACTCCTGGTGACTGATTGATATGCATATTTATAGGAAGGCGATCTAAAACTTAAATCCTCAATGAGCTGACACTTCAAAGAAAGAAGCAGGAAGGAAGCAGGAAAAAAGCGAGAAAAGCCTCTTTTTTTAAAGAAATTTGGCATCAAGCAACAAAAATAAGTTTTTCTTTCATGTATCGTTAAGCATATTTTTATATAATACATCCTTTCTCAGCAGATATATGTATCCTGTTTCACCATCTTGTCCTTGAAAATCTCAAATGAATTCCCTTATTTGTTAAAGGAAGATGCCTGTATAATTTGTTTACATTTTGTAGTAAAATTCATCCACAAATGACATTTTCAGAGTTGGCAATCAAAGAGCACAGTGTGTCCAGTCAAGTGTTGCTCGTTCATATGCAGGTGGTGTGGCTCTGCTGCATGCATTGTTTGTGACCTTCCCACTGGTGTCTTGATGTGCAAAGCTCTGTGAAGTAAAAGTGTTCCTCTTTAGTGTTCTTCAGTTTACAGAGCAGAGATTGCTCAGTGTTCTCTGGTGAGGACGACGCTGGTCATGGAGAAAATAGCTGTGAAGCAGGCAATGCACACTGACATTTCGCCCCACTCACACTCCAGCACACACAAACACACAGACACAGTCACATACATCTGGATACACAGATGAACAAGTATACAAGCTGTTTTTTCAGTCAGATTGTGCAGTACTTGCCTACAGAATTGCATTCATTACCCACGTATGACTCAGGATTTACTGTCATATCAACAATCTCATTTTACACGTTTCTGAGCAAGTGCAGTAGGTAAATACATACTGCATGACTCTGCATTGTATTTACAATGAACAACATTGACATTCACATAGTTCTTAGATAAAGACCCTTAGGAGGTACATTTCATGAGTGATCCTGCATGGGGAGGAAACTGTTTCTATACACCCACACCAGCTGGCAGGTTATACACACCATTCACTATCAGCCTGCAGTGAAGCTATACATGCATATCAATGCAGTGTAACTCTTGAGACTGAGTATTTGGAGGATTACATGCTCCGCAGTTGGTTTGTGAAGAACAACACATTTAAGTGATAATTACATTTTTTTTTTTTTTAAGTTTTTGTGAGCCTCTTTCACTGCCACACAAGCTTCTATTTGATTCACACTTGAAAGCCTTTATTTCTGCCTTGTGTATCTTTAGTAATTGTTTTCTCCTGGTTGTATAGTCATTTGTAATTTCAAGTTTGCTTTTGAAAATTGTTTCATGGACAGAGATTTATGTTTGTTCATTTTTTATTTCTCATCAGTCATGACTGTAACCAAATGAATCAGGACACCAGGACAACAAATTTATTTTTATATTCTTCTTTTCTGATATTTCCCGAACCAAACTCAACTGCCTATGTCCAATCAAGTAAAAGAGCAAAGGACCCTCAATATTTTATGAAGCTAGAGTTCAAAGTTAAGTGCAGGACTTGTAATGAAATCTTGAAGCTTAAAAATATCTCTGCTCCGGTTTTGATCACTGGTACCTTTTTCTGCTTAATATTGAATTGAAGGTCCAGAGCAAGTTTCTCGAGGGCCAACAGTCTTTCAGCATTTTGTATAAACCTCCCCTCACAGATGAAAGTTAGTCATGTAAGCTGCCTATTAAGATTCAGCAGGTTGTAAATGTGCCAAAATGAGACGTGCAGTTTCTCCTGCACCAGTTTGAACTGAAGCGGTGGCAGCAATAACACGCAGCGTGAGAGCTTCACCAAACTAACTCGTTTACAAATAATTTAAGAAAGTTTTCAAAAGCATTTCATAAAAGACTGTTTTAAAATGTATGCTGTTAAATTTACTGAACTAAATCTACTAGAAAAGTAACAAGTAACAAAATGTTATTGCAATACATCTTGTTGATCAGATGACCCCTGGAACAAAAACAATTATGTGGATATTTTAAATTGAGTAATTTAACAAACCCAAAAAATTGCATACCTTTTAAAAGCTTACTGCTTTTTAATGACATCTCTGTATGTTGTGGAGTACAGTGCATTTCTGTGGGAAAGGAATTTGGATGAGCTTCCTGCCGTGGGGGCATACAGGCTGGAGACTGAGGGGTGCTGAGGCCAGAGAGGCCTGTTGTTTGGCCTTGGGCCACCATTCTTGTCCTGTCAGCTCAAATCTCAAAGACCACTCCAAATGGTGTGTCAGATCCTTGAGAATCCTTGTCCTGCTAGCAGCACTGATTAAGAATTTAACAAACATCAGCTTTGCAACCTAGGACATAACTCAAAACGTTGACCGTGTGGAATGAGATTTTTAAAGATGAGAGATAGTTTAGATTCAAGGGACAAACTTAAACTGAGGTGTAACAAATGAAATTCAGTGAGTTGGGGTTTTATTCTGCAATTTTCACATGATGAGCATGATGTCTAATTAAATATCTAATTATTTAACATTGTCCTATTGCTCTTCCATCTCTTCATCATCATCATTATCATCTTCTTCATCCTTATCGCCACCACCATCTGTATGATTAGAGTATAATGTAAATTGCTTACACACTGTGTCAGGACATTACTACATTCAGTGGTGGAGGTTGAATGGAGGGTCCTAATGTCTCACTAATGGCCAACGGTTGTTGTCTTGGAAACCAGCTCAGATGTTAATGTAGACATCAGCCACTCAGTGCTGATTATCACTATGAACTGGGTCACAAAATGACAAATAGGATGATTTATTCACTTGTAGGTCACTCAGTTTGTTATCCTGCCGCAAGGTAGTCATTCTTTAATTCTATTGACAATGGACATTTTAATGAGGTGTTGGGCACCTTTTCCCCATTTTCATCTCTTTTTCTCATCTATGTGTTTTTTCTCTCTTCCTATTAGCTGGCATCTTGGGACTCCACTCGTGGCTTGAATGGTAGCCTAAAGGAGAATCGCATAGAGAGCGGTATGCAGGGAGTGACACTCAAGATTGTAACATTACTGGTAAGTGGGAGTAAACTGAATCTCTTGGCACTTGACCTGCGTAGGAGAATATTTGAGAACGAAAACATACACAACAGCATATTAACATGTCAAAACAAGCAGAAAACATGATTACATGCACTTAAAAAAAAACATGGGAATCAACAAATAAAGTCCTGGCTGTAATAGTACTGTGTCAGAAACCCCTGGTTCTTACCTTCACTGAGGTAAATAAAGATGTTCACTATTCAAGAATTTACAGTAATATACAAAAAAAACCTTGGTTCAGTTATCGCATGTGCATGTGAAGCCAACAGGAACGATGTAGGATCTTGGAGAACTGGACCTTGTATAATCTGCTTTACACTGTTTGGTCATGTTCACTGATATTTTCTCTTTTGGAAAAGAGAATATAAGGTCCTCTTCTAGAGCACCTAGAATCTAGAGCATCAGAAAATAAATCCTTCATTGCAGCAGTTTTTCTTAAACTAATTTCACCACTTCCAGCAGCAAAGCCTTCCTCCTCTCCATCTCACTCTTCTCCTCCCACTTTCTCCACTTTTCCTCCTCTTCACACATGATTTACCTGCACCATATTTATTCACATAAGTTCTGCTCTGCTCTCTCCTGGCAGTGTCACTTAATCAAATCATTTGCCCCCTGCCCACTTAAACACATCCCCCCTCTTCAGTCTCTCTCTCCCTGTCTTCTTTTTACTCCTCCTTCACCCATTTAAATCTGCCCTGACACTTTCAACCCATAAAGAAGAACCACTGTGTGGGTGCAATAAATTTAAAATGGCAATTTCCACGTTGATGAACCATAGCAGTTGGGCCATGGTGCCATGTGATACAGGTCAACAGTTGCTGAGGAAACTGTTTTATTAAGATGAAGTTTAACTTAGATCACCTTCGAAGCTCTTCATGAAGGTGTCACCCCAAAGTTCTTAAGATGACTGAATGTGTCCTCGCCTTAGTCGCCAATCTGGCCCCGAGGAGATTATGGTGCATTTTGAGAAATGACATCCCTGTGATTCAATACACACACATTCTTATGCTTTTTCCTCACTTTGAGGGTAGATCTTAGCCTTAGAGACAAAATCAGTGCACATTCACAGTTCTCAACATTATCATTATGTTAGTATTGTATTTCCATAAAACTCCTTTCAGCAATTGTACAATATTTGTTTAAACAGGAAGAACCTTTTGTGATGGTGGCAGAAAACATTCTGGGCCAACCCAAGAGATACAAAGGATTCTCGATTGATGTCTTGGACGCCCTTGCTAAGATCCTGGGCTTTAAGTACGACATCTACCAAGTTGGAGATGGGAAGTATGGCTCAGCACTCCCTAATGGATCCTGGAATGGCATGATGGGAGAACTCATTGGAAAGGTTAGTGTCTTTTCTTTTTATCTCAGTCTATGTCCAGATGTTTGTCCAAATCCTGTTTCTGGGAGTCGAGCCACATCCTTGTTTAGAAATGGGAGCCCAATTATAAGGTTTATTAAAGTGGAAAAGATCAGAAAAACATTGCGTGGCCAACATCTGGAAATCCATTTTCTCCCATGGGTGAACATCTGATTTCTCCTTTTTGAAGGGAAACTGATTAAGTTTAAGAACATGACAAAGGCTTTTCTGAGTCATAATGGAAATGGGATTTTAACTTTAAGCTACAGTATTTACCCCATAAAGTCTTTTAGGTTCAAGTTTCTGTTTAGAATTTCAGATTCGTTATTACTGGAAGGCACATGCACTCTCACCCTGCAATCTTTATACTATTGTTTATCAAATGGAGCTATGCGATTGATCAATGACAGAGTGAACACTGTATTGTTACTGCCATTAGACCACGTGTTCACCGAAATGACTGAGGAACTGATGTTTATTGTTTAGAAAAAACAGACTTGACACATGATAAAATATATGAATTATGTTACCTCAAATAAACTATATTACATTTATTAATTATTGATGACCATATTATCCAGTATAAAATGGCAGAGTCATGCAGAATGGATATAATACACACTAAAATCCAAGATTAGAAAGAAAGTGCTCTTGAGTCCAAACCTCCATGAAGGCCTAATGAGCTCCCCGGTTATTTGCTTCAAAGTCAACAATGTACTGAGTAGACAATAGAGTAGTTATATAAGTTAAAGGCAAAGTTTAGTTTAATAATAAAGAAATCTCATTGTGTTAGAAAATCAAAAGATTTTCTTGAGCATGAAGGTGCACAGAGGGATGGACTGTCTGGGTAAGTACTTGAGAGATGTAATTTTAAATTTGAAAATGTGGACTGATGGTTATTCTTGAGGAAAACCACTTGCGTTAACAAAACGAATAGGTTTCTCCCCTTTGGGATTGAAAACCCGCACACCAAATGTCCTTCCAATTTGCCCATTACCTTTGGAAATATGTCAGAAACACTGACCTGATAGTGTTTCTATAAAGAAAAAGACAGAAAATGAAAAAGCATACAGTAGTTACTTTTAGAATGAAGTGTGATGTAAGCTGAAAAGTTCCAGTGATGGTGACAGAAGAGCAGAGGTCACAGGGTCCTCAAAATTAAGTTTCTTTCTCATGGGAGTATTTGATTTCAGCCACATGTTTTCATAATGTTGTCACAGATGGATAAACCAGCCTCACCTCCTCAATGGTGAGAAAACATCAACCAGCTCATGTAGTTAAATAATATAATATCATATCAAATATTCTAGATTGATTCTTTTTCAATGTCTAACAACATATAAGAAATTCCCAGAAATTGTATTAAGTTACTAAAATGGTATCATATGACTCTCCACCCACAGCGAGCTGATTTGGCCATATCAGCTATCACCATCACTCCCGAGCGCGAGAGTGTGGTGGATTTCAGCAAGCGCTACCTGGACTATTCAGTGGGAATCCTGATGCGCAAGTCAGAGGAGAAGATCAACATTTTCTCTTTACTGGCACCATTTGACCTGGCAGTGTGGGCGTGCATCGCTGCAGCCATCCCTGTAGTGGGCATCATGATCTTCCTGCTCAGGCGCATCCAGGCAGTGCGCTGCCAGAACAGTGCAGGAGGCCATCCGCCACCTTCTGTCTCCACGTCACTTCAGAGCGCCATCTGGATTGTCTATGGTGCTTTTGTGCAACAAGGTGGGTGATATAGTTTTATTCTGGCAACAACAATATGAAAAGACAGCAGTTATAAATCATGTATTTGGACAACCGAGGCTTGGCAGGTTTCATTCCTCCAAACCATAGACCAAACTCTTTCTAGTTAACACTTCTCTGTTTGAAGGTGTGTTTTAACTGATAAAGTCAGTGGCATTATTGAATGTCAGTGGCATTATTGAATTATTGAATGCTCTTGGCCTTCAGTGACACATCACCAAGCACCAGCCGTGCAGTTCTTAAATGTGAAACCCCTAAATCTAAACAGAACAAAAGAGAAATAAAAACAGTAAAAAACTACTTGAAGGGATTAAGGGTAGAAGATTAAAATAAAGAACAAGTCCAATTAATTAAAATGCACATGTGGATGTCTGTATACAACAAATGCTGATTCAGTAGTGAGTCAGTTAGAGGCACAACGCCCACCCTAGCATTTTCTAAAGGTGCCCTTGTCAAGGAGAACATGTCTTCTTTAGGCCTGGTAGAGATCCAGGTATGTCCAGTTTGGATAAATGACTACTTCAGCAACTGATGTTAAAGCCTGAACTGCATCTATCAAAGTCTGGCACATTGCCTATGAGCCTTTTTTAACCCAACACCCACTATATTTCAAGAGAAGCTCAATTCCATGTCTTTTCTCTGCCTTTTTTCTCCTCGTTCTCCTCTGGCTCGTGTTCCAACGTTGCCACTTTTTGTTCCAGTCAAGTGGATTGCATTTTTTTTCTTGGGATGGCGTGGGTCACTTTGATATGGATCTGACTGTTGATGCTTAGTGCGCCATTGTCAGAGAGCATAAACTTGGCAACCATATCCCCCTTATGATTTCATAATGATATGCCAACACATGGCTGGGTTTTGTTGTATGTTCTGTGCAGATTAAACTATCCACCCACAGATGCACTGACTTTCCTCACTGCTTTTTTCAAGCAGGGACTGCCTTTCTTTTGTTCTATAAGAAGGTCAGGGAGAGGTAGGAAATAGTCTGAAACTGTCTTGGAGAAGTGAAGAAAATAACACGTTTCTCTTATGATTAGAGAATTTAATCAATTTATTTTAAAGATGAAAGCGACTGCACCACAATGGATCTTTGCAGTAGGGTGAGATCCAGTAAAATTTCATACACATTTTACATTTGATGACCTTAAGAAATCAGTCAAAGTCATATATGATAAAAATGACTGATGCTGGAGTGCTATGCATCTGACAAGGCCCTCAGTTTTTTTTCCCAAGCTGTCCTGAGGGTGCAGCCGCGTTGATTGTGACACTTTTGGACAAATATGTTTTCATTACATTTCACACTCCTGAATCTTACAGATGACATTTCTATGGCTTTACTCTTCAAAATTAGAATGTGTGCTGACATTTTTCTCATGCGCCTCATACACTGTTTTTTGGATATTTGGAGAGAAAGAGTCAGTGTGACAGAGAAAAAGTGAAGATAGCAAAGCTATTGCGACAAACCAGTCTTTTGCCCTCAAAGAAAACAAGGGGAAGCAGAGGATTAAGGAGATGAAGGAAAGAACATTAAAAAGGCAGGAAGAAAAAGGAAGCAGGAATATTAATGATTACTACACTTTGGAAAAAAATGGATTGGGATGTGCAGAGACAAGTAAATCTGTGCAAGTAACATTTCAGGGTAGATGGTTTTCAATACACTAAGCTCTTGAGAAAATAAGGGATGAAAACATAGCGCAATTACACAAATCATCATATCCATGCAGGCGACTGCTCCAGTGTTACATACAAAAATGAGTATTATCTCCAAAGTGAGAAATTACAACTTGTAGCAGCTTTTAACATCAATGGTGTGATATGATTAACCACTTATTACTAGTTAATTCACCCATGTGTGCCACTTCATGTAACCTAGAGAAAAAGCAGGGCTGAAAGAAACACTGTACAAACGGTTTTATCACTGTTAGAAACATGAGGAAAGGACACCAGCGTCCATTTTATTCATAATTTATGACCATACACCAGAATAATCAATTAACTTACCAGACAGACACAAAACATGTGGATGTCTCTTTTTGCATAGAACTGGCCAATCTCCTAAAATACAGAAAATCTTGCATTTAAAAACATAAGGCATTAAGATAAAAATGGTCTTTATTTTCTTGGCTCTTTCATAATATGAGAGCTAATTGAAACAATAAAATCAGGATACAAGACCATAATAATAATAAGCCATTCCTACACATTTTGGCAGCATTATGTCTACATCACGTGTTACTTAAAAATGTGTTGGGGGGTTTGCAGTTTGTATTATTTTTAGCATTTATACTAAATTAAAGATAGTTGCATTAGATCATGTGTGGTGATAGGTAATGTGAAGCTGTACAGTACATTGTGAAGAAGATGATGATGATGATGATGATGATAATGATGATGATGATGATGGTGGTGTGTGCAGTTTTAATACTAATGCCCTTATACCTGCACCTCCACAGGAAGTGACTCCATCCTGGGGTCGGTGGCTCTGCGTATCGTCATGGGCAGCTGGTGGCTCTTCACCCTCATTGTGTGTTCATCTTACACAGCAAACCTAGCTGCCTACCTCACCGTGTCACGCATGGACAATGCTGTCAGGTAAGACACAATACCTTCAATTAACTTCTCAAATGAAACATCAACCACCTTGAACACTTCACGTGGATAGTTAAAATAAATGAGGAATGAATAAAATCCATACAGCAGAGGCAGAGATATTGCCTGTTTCATTCCATTTTTCTACCTTGTTAAAACCTGGTCCCTACGTTACCCACAATGCAACCCGACCAGGAACAGTTCAGTCAGGTAGATTTGGGTGTATTATGCTAGTAGCAGCTAAAGTAGACTCGAGTAGAGTAGAGATGAGTTGCGGGCTACTGAGGTCTTGTGAGCTCACCTCTGTCTGACTCCACACACCCTGATTTTTTCAGCCACAACCAACACTGACTCAAGTGACATCACTTGAGGCAACTTATTAGAGTTCAAGCAGCTCCCCCTGGAGTCACAGAAGGCTTTGTACAACTTTTTCCTATATGCAGTAGTGCTCCTCAACACCTGTAAATAGACTTTGATGTAAAGCTTAAGGGCTTCTGCATGCTTTCATGTTATCATTTTTATTGTGTGTGTGTGTGTGTGTGTGTGTGTGTGTGTGTGTCTTGCAGTGCAATATATGTTTTATGTGTGGAGTGTTTTCTTGAGGTAGCATACATTACATTTTCCAATATTTCAACCAAAGGAACGAGTGCTGTAGCTCAGGCTGAAGGTTCGTCTGTGTGCATCTCTCATCATCTCTTTCACTTGGTACAGAGTGTTTGGTGTGACTGCTTTTCTGTAATTTTTGACTTGCTGCCTAACAACTAGCCTGTCCTCAGTCCAAATGTTATTTGTCAGTAAATCCAATTTGGTGTGCCGTCTCTCCCCAAAGAATGGTCAGAGAAGCATTCGATTACATTGGGTCTGTCTTCAGTTGAACAAATAGTAACATGTGGACATGTGAGGAGGGGGAGTGAATGCTGAGCAGCCCACACCTCACGTGTGTGTGTGTGTGTGTGTGTGTGTGTGTGTGTGTGTGTGTGTGTGTGTGTGTTTATTCATGTTTGGATTACCAATTACTGGAACATAACTTTTTCTCATAGTACATTGGGTGCAGTTTAGGGAATGGAATCAGCCTTACTTCATTGCATTTAGGAGTTAGAGGGTTGGGGAAAGTGCACTGTGACCAAATTTTAAATTGGAACAATCAAAGCACATGCTGAACATGTCCATATCTGCTGTTCTCAGTAGTAACTGCTTTATAAAATTTGTAGCCTGTGTGGGATTCACTTCCTGGCCAATCTAAATTAATTGTGCAGAAAATCTGAACATAATTTAAGCAATAAATCCTGAGGCATCCTGTACATTCCTGAGAGATTTTGTGGAGGTGATAAACTTTTAAGATACACTGAAAATACACTTTTTGTTTATTTGAGAAAAATGTGAGAAGGGTACAGGACTAAATCATCCTAAAATAAAAAGTTTATTTTAATAGCGTACGTATTGTTTTCTTAATTGCAAGAATAAGAGCAAATCATTGCAATCCCAAAATATGTTTATTGGTTTATTTAACCAGTGTGTCACGCTTAGCTTAGGAGAGAGCCTTTCTTTTGTACTCCATTGCTTTCCTGATGTGCATAAGACACTTCTAAAATTGCCCAGCATCAGGTCTTACTTAGCAGCACAGTGTTCAAATTAACTCTGCTGCTCCATTTCCTAATTACATAATCTGAGTAAATACTCTCCTAAATGTAAAACTTGATGTGAACACATTTGCACACCATCATCATCTGACTGTGAGTTGCTAGTGGGCTTAATAATTCTCCCACCTAACATCCAAATTGTGCATGTGTGCGTGTGTAGGGGTGGGGGGACTGAAGAATTATGCCTCAGGTTATTTGAAAATTGGCCACTTCCTTTCTTTTTAAAAATGCTTGTGGCCAACTTGATGATTCAATAAACTGACAGTGGACAGTAGGTCCTACCATTAACAATGATTAAAGCGGGCATCTCTCTGAAACACCAATAATTGATTTTCTTTTATGAAGTCAATGTTTATCAAAAAAACAAAACACAGATGTAATTTACCACATAAATCACAGCAAAAGCAAATCTGGTTAAGCCCATAGTTTTACTTTCTTTCAAAGAGGGAGAACTTGCTGCCTTTGCATCATTTTCACTCACAACTTAAGATCAGGCAAAATGAAACATTAGTTTTTTTTCTCTTTCTCTACTAGAATTCACCTCCTTTGAGGGAGAAAACTGCTTTGCACCATCACTGAACCACTAGGGGACAGATGGCAGAAGAAATTTATACAGTAAATTGGGTCTTTTGTGCAGGCCTATTGCTGCCTTCCTCATTGTACAGAGAAGCATAGGTTGACTTGGAAGAGGAAGGGTTATTTGTAACTCCTGTGGGGAGCATGTACAGCACCATCCCGGAGAACACAGGTGACATTTACAGAGTTGGAATTGAGTTCTTTCAGTAACAGAAAGTAATCTTCATTTTTGTGAAAAGCATTTGTAAGAATGTTGGGATTAGGTATAGTAATGTCTGCTTAAAAGAAAATACTCCAAAACCAGGTTCTTGCTGTCTGGGAGTCATTGTGGTTGTGGCAGAAAGGCTGGGCTGCCTGAACCAGGAGCCAAAGGTCTATGACGATGGTGTATTGCAGTATTAAAATAGGCAGAACAGGTGAGATTCCCTCACTGTTCACTTCTAGGCTCCATTTTTTACCCTTCTGTGCTCTACCAGTCAATATTGTCTATGAATGTAATATATTACACCTGGTGACCAAAGCACTACTAATGTATGACGTGCCTGACAGAAAAGGCTGCATATATCCAAATCTACTCTAGAAATGTATTTCATAAAATCATTCAAACTGGAGTTTGTCCTGCAGCATGAATCCAATGTCCAAACCTTGGAAAGTTTCTGCCAAATGTGTCTTGAATCTTATAGGATAGGTTAGGTGCAGTCCATCTCCCTAAATTTGAAAAAATATAAAGTCAGTATGTGTTTATGATTTTTCATGGAGAAATCATCTTTCTGTCTTCTAGACAAGTCAGTTCAAGACACACTTTGTTTGTGTGTGTCTGTGTTTCTAAATGTGTGCCTGCATGAGCCCTTAGTTGGGTGTAACAGGAACAATTAGCAACTTTGTCTGACGTACAGTGGTTAATTAAGCCATCATTTGTATATTATAAATTTGGTTTAAACACTACATGGCTTTTCCCCCTTTTGTTTGCTCTCTCTACAAATAAGCCTTTACGAAACACCTGAGCCTTGGGATACAGAGATGAAATGGTTTCCTACCAAAACTATTTGTATGATGTTCTAGGGTGAGAGGGAGCGAAAGAGAGAAAGTCATGTTTCTTAAAAAATGATTTGTCCCCCAGGATATCACATGGATTAATACGAATTAATGGATGTCTTTGGCTGAGCTCTCTTGTTTTTTTATAATGTTGTTTTAACTCTTTACTCTTTACTGCTATGGCTGATTTTACATTAAGTACAACCATGACCAACTGTGCAGGCAGCAATTTGGTGCCTTTGATTTTGCCTGGAACACCTTAGAGGAAACTTGTGACATGCACACGCAAGAGAAGACAATTCTTTACATGCATGTGTCTGTAGTACTGCAATACAAAGAGGGAGAAAGAGCATTGGTTTGTGTGCTAGGTTGGTGCTGTGCTTCTTATAATCTTTGTCCATCCATTATAGATAATGAACAGAGGGCTGGGTTGGATCTCTATGTATTGATCAGGAATCAAAGTGTATGTTGCATTGCTTTGAGAAAGAAAAGCCAAACAAGAAACAGCACTTACAAATGGGTGGCAGATGTCCTCAGTACAAGACAATGTCTACTTCAAATAGTCACTGTCTGATAATATCACTTGTGAGTGGTTTAATTTTACCATATCTTTGATTTTTAAAATGTGCCATCTGTCTATTGTTTTTCATATTTTTTCTTACATTACAGGGGCTTTCACCTCTTTTAGTTATTCTATTTACTCCAGCTGGTGGATCTAAATATTTATAGGATTGATTTATCTCAGATCTATAGTTCCACAGTACACTACAGGTCCCAATGTTTGTGTAGTTACATAAAAGTAGGCTGTTAAGGCTGAGCATTTTACTTGGTGCAGTAAAGCTTGTGGTTTAATCTAACAGAATAAGCTGGAGACCATGAAATATCCAGCACATTGTTTCTGTCTCGCTTGCTTTTTCCACAACAACCACTGTTACACCATATAGGCTTCTAATTAAATCGCTGAATTAGTCCAACAACATCATCTTGAGATAAGCTTTTCGATTCTCTCACTTTTTAGAGAATTGGGAAGAAAACAATCTTAGTTGTGTAAACATTCTGGTGCTTCTCTAGTATGATATTCTAAAGAAATGTGGAAAATGCACAGAGGCAGTACATCAAACATATCAACCCAGTACAAGTCATGGATGTAGGTAATCTAACAAATTACACTGGAAGCAAATTCTAATTAAAAGGACACTGGCATTTAGCAAATATGTTGCTGTACAAAATTGGAAATTATCTTTACATATGAAATATGGTTGCTGCAAGGAGCCACACAGCATCTGCATAATAGACATTTCAATCAGGAGAGAATAGTTTTCAGATATAAAGTATTGTTTATAAAAAGTAGGTTATAGTTTGGTGCTGACTCCATTAGGGGTTAATGCTCAATCATGGGGATTGAACCCCATAATCAGTCAGCAACTTAACCTCCCAACCTGGTCAACATTACTCTGGTCGCAGTCATGGTGCTGGTAGTGCTAGGGAAAGTGGTGGTCAGGGAAAGCTTTGGCGTCGACATCAGAGCCAGCAGGCAGCAGGCAGCACTCTACAGGTGCAGCTAATTTGGTTGATAAAGAGCATGCTGATTAGTGATTTTCTCCAATGTGCATAGGAGAGGGAGGTGGTAGTGTTACGCTTACTGATTGGATGGAGTGAAACAGGAGGGAGCTGAAGCTTGAATTTTAAACAGAGGGAAAAATCTGTATATACAAGGATATAAGCCAGGAGGCTGAGGCGGGGTAATGAATAAAAGTGAAGAGGAGTGTTTCCTAAGTCAGTGACTTCTTGCATCATGCTTGTAATGTAATAAGACATGGCTTTGATTTTAAAGGCTGACAAAGCAGAACAGCTTTGTTGGCAACAAAAATGTTTGATTTGCACAAAAAATTTGTGCAAGAAAAATAACAGGTTAAAACTGTTTGACAAAGTCATTTGTAAATAGTTGTGTATATCAGGCTTTTATATTAATAGACTGCTGTTGCTAATGTTACTCTGTCAAGCCATCTCAGCATCAGAACTGGGTTGCCACAGGGATTTATCCTTGGACAGTTGCTGTTTACATTATACAGAAATAACATAGTTGTTCCTTCAGACTTAGACTTCAATGTCCATTTATTTGCTGACGATACAATTTTATATGTCCCAGGCTCCGCCCCCAGCCTGACTCGTCTTCAGTCTGCCTCTGATGCCTTCCAACTATTACTCTTTAAACACAGACTAGTTTTAAAGACAAGACCAAGTACATGGTTTTGTCTTGCTCCACAAGTGTATCTGAGCACCCTGCCATTAAAACTAAATGATACTCATATTACTCTTCATGAGTCAAAATATGACCTGACAGTAGACTGTCTTTCAAGATTAATAGTTGATTGACAAATTAAATTGAGACAAACTGACATGTTATACTGTAAAAAAAATTTCTTGAATATCTTCTTATTACTTATTACTTCATATTATTTCCTGTTTTTCTTATCAGTTTTCTATCAAATCTGGTGAACTAACTTGCTACTGTGGCCCTCACTGCAGGTCGTTCCAGGACCTGTCCAAACAAGTGGATGTGGTTTACGGGACAGTGAGGGACTCGGCCGTGTACGAATATTTCCGGGCCAAAGGCACCAACCCTCTGGAGCAGGACAGTACATTCGCAGAACTCTGGAAGACCATTAACAAGAACAACGGCTTTGAGAACTCTGTCTCCAGCCCATCAGAGGGAATCAAGAAGGTAAGTATTTATTTTGGTCTTCATGAATAAAATATTATTAGAGCCCTTTAAACTTGTGTTGCCTGTTATTAGGTTTCTGTAGGGTTCTTTTCAACAAGCTATTCTTAGGGAAAGCAAACAATATGAAATATATGTTTAGCTATTCTTTCACAAGAAAGAAGGCGGCGATGAAGGCGTTGCTTTTTCTTTTTTCTTTCTTACTTCTTAATAAATTATATGAATATTAAAATCATGTCTTCAGCTCAGAAGAAATTAATACTATGAAACATAAGCTCAGCCTTGATGATAATTAACTGTAGCTTGTTACTGTTACACAGCCAGGTAAGTTCAGTAAATTCCATCACTGATTGACAGAAGCATGAGTAAAGTGATATTTTTAATCTAGTGAATAGTGAGGGTTTAATTATTCTCACAAACTCAGTGTGTTGCCAAATTAACTTTTAATGTATTTTCTCTTCTCTCTCTCTTTCTTAAACACAAATAAGCACAAGCACGCACACGGCTACACAGACACATAGCAGATTGAAGAATCCATAATTAAACAAACTACAATGGAGTCTAGACATATGCACTTTAAAAGCATTAAACTGCAGTGTTTCCTCAGCCATTTTGGGGAGGGGCAGCCTGCCATTAAATAAATATTTTATTACCGTTTTATTTTGTTTACATTTACATTTTATTCTGTTCGCAGTTACTGAATTACTATGTTTTTCTTTAGAGCTAACAAACCATCGACTGCATGCTCCTCATTCTGACTTGAGTTTTACAGTTGGATGGGAATGTGATTTCTACAGTATGTGTTTATTTATTAAAGGTCAGTGGACTTGAGAGCCCTATATAGTTGAGAGCATAGTCTTACTCTGGAGGGTAAAGAAGCTGGAGAAGTGCATACAAACACAGAAAAACAACAAACAAAAAAAAACAATCCAGTAGGATATCAGACAGATTTTCAGCCGGCGTTGTTCAACAGTCTTCACTTGAGGCTACAGCACATGATCGTGTCTCTGAAAATATGCTATAAGCAGAGCTAGAAAAAAATAGCGATCCAACTATTTACATCATCTTTGTAAAGAAATCTAATGTTGTGCATGCTATTCAGTGTTCAGTGCTCTGAGTGGGAAAAATATTAAATCTAATTTCTGTGCAAATATTTTGCATGCTGACTGAGCTCTGTTTGTTCTACTCATTGCTTTTTCACAGTGAGAAGCCTGTGCCACTCTCCCAGCAACACAGGGACATGAGGTCAAGGCGTAAAAATGCAAAGAAAATGCCTTATAATGTGTTTGCTTTTGCATGTGTGTTTGTGTGTGTCTTGGGAACTTCACAAATTTCCAGGCAAAGCGAGAGTCATATGCCTTTCTGTGGGACATGGCGGTGGTGGAGTATGCTGCTCTGACAGATGACGACTGCACACTGACTGTAGCAGGAAACAGCATGAGCACCAGAGGCTACGGCATGGCCCTGCAGCACGGCAGTCCTTACAGGGACCTCTTCTCTCAGAAGTATGTCTATATACAGACATTTTGTAATGTGTTGTGATATATATCAATTACGCAGCATTCCTTTATGTTCAGCAGGAATGGTACCAGCTAATACCTCCTGGTGTTGGTATCAGCCTGTAAATTTTTTGAAATCATTGAAGGATATCTAATGTGTGTTCCAGTTTATCTTCAGGCATCTGTCCTGTTAGATGTGATAACTTTGCACAGACCAAATAATTACTGAAATATGGACACATGGCTGCATTTTTGACATTTTTATGCCTTATTATACGATGACATTTTTCTGCCTTACTATACTCTGACGTTTTTTGCCATTTTTATGCCTCATTATACTATGACGATTTTTATGTTTTTATGCCTTACTATACGATGACCTTTCTTGACATTTTTATGCCTTACTATACTATGACGTTTTTTGACATTTTCATGGCTACTATACTATGATATTTTTTGACATGTTATACCTTAATATGATATGTTTTTTGACATGTTATGCCTTTCTATACCATGACGTTTTTTTCACATTTTTGTGACTTACTGTAATATGATGTTTTTTGACGTGTTATACCTTACTTTACTATGATGTTTTTTTATGTTTTTATGCCTTACTATATATTATGACGTTTTTTGCCATTTTTATGCCTCATTATCCTGTGACGATTTTTGACGTTTTTATGCCTTACTATACTATGACTTTTTTGACATTTTTATGCCTTACTATACTAGACATTTTTATGCCCTGCTGTACTAAGACATTTTTATGTGTTATGCCTTAATATACTAAGACGTTTTTTGATGTTTTTGTGCCTTACTATACTATGATGTTTTTTTCACATTTTTATGACTTACTATACTATGACGTTTTTTGACGTTTTTATGCCTTACTATACTATGACGTTTTTATGCCTTACTATACTATGACGTTTTTATGCCTTACTATACTATGACGTTTTTATGCCTTACTATACTATGACGTTTTTATGCCTTACTATACTATGACGTTTTTATGCCTTACTATACTATGACGTTTTTATGCCTTACTATACTATGACTTTTTTGACATTTTTATGCCTTACTATACGATGACGTTTTTTGCCATTTTTATGCCTCATTATACTGTGACGATTTTTACGTTTTTATGCCTTACTATACTATGACAATTTTTGACGTTTTTATGCCTTACTATACTATGACTTTTTTGACATTTTTATGCCTTACTATACTAGACATTTTTATGCCTTGCGTTTTTTGACATTTATATGCCCTGCTGTACTATGACATTTTTATGCCTTACTATACTATGATATTTTTTGACATTTTTATGCCTTACTATACTATGACGTTTATTGATGTTTTTGTGCCTTACTGTACTATGATGTTTTTTTCACATTTTTATGACTTCCTATACTATGACGTTTTTTGACATTTTTATGCCTTACTATACTATGACATTTTTTGACGTGTTATGCCTTAATATACTAAGACGTTTATTGATGTTTTTGTGCCTTACTATACTATGATGTTTTTTTCACATTTTTATGACTTACTATCCTATGATGTTTTTATGCCTTACCATACTATGACGTTTTTTTCACATTTTTATGACTTACTATCCTATGATGTTTTTATGCCTTACCATACTATGACGTTTTTTTCACATTTTTATGACTTACTATCCTATGATGTTTTTATGCCTTACCATACTATGACGTTTTTTTCACATTTTTATGACTTACTATCCTATGATGTTTTTATGCCTTACCATACTATGACGTTTTTTTCACATTTTTATGACTTACTATCCTATGATGTTTTTATGCCTTACCATACTATGACGTTTTTTTCACATTTTTATGACTTACTATCCTATGATGTTTTTATGCCTTACCATACTATGACGTTTTTTTCACATTTTTATGACTTACTATCCTATGATGTTTTTATGCCTTACCATACTATGACGTTTTTTTCACATTTTTATGACTTACTATCCTATGATGTTTTTATGCCTTACCATACTATGACGTTTTTTTCACATTTTTATGACTTACTATCCTATGATGTTTTTATGCCTTACCATACTATGACGTTTTTTTCACATTTTTATGACTTACTATCCTATGATGTTTTTATGCCTTACCATACTATGACGTTTTTTTCACATTTTTATGACTTACTATCCTATGATGTTTTTATGCCTTACCATACTATGACGTTTTTTTCACATTTTTATGACTTACTATCCTATGATGTTTTTATGCCTTACCATACTATGACGTTTTTTTCACATTTTTATGACTTACTATCCTATGATGTTTTTATGCCTTACCATACTATGACGTTTTTTTCACATTTTTATGACTTACTATCCTATGATGTTTTTATGCCTTACCATACTATGACGTTTTTTTCACATTTTTATGACTTACTATCCTATGATGTTTTTATGCCTTACCATACTATGACGTTTTTTTCACATTTTTATGACTTACTATCCTATGATGTTTTTATGCCTTACCATACTATGACGTTTTTTTCACATTTTTATGACTTACTATCCTATGATGTTTTTATGCCTTACCATACTATGACGTTTTTTTCACATTTTTATGACTTACTATCCTATGATGTTTTTATGCCTTACCATACTATGACGTTTTTTTCACATTTTTATGACTTACTATCCTATGATGTTTTTATGCCTTACCATACTATGACGTTTTTTTCACATTTTTATGACTTACTATCCTATGATGTTTTTATGCCTTACCATACTATGACGTTTTTTTCACATTTTTATGACTTACTATCCTATGATGTTTTTATGCCTTACCATACTATGACGTTTTTTTCACATTTTTATGACTTACTATCCTATGATGTTTTTATGCCTTACCATACTATGACGTTTTTTTCACATTTTTATGACTTACTATCCTATGATGTTTTTATGCCTTACCATACTATGACGTTTTTTTCACATTTTTATGACTTACTATCCTATGATGTTTTTATGCCTTACCATACTATGACGTTTTTTTCACATTTTTATGACTTAATATACTATGACTATTTTTGACGTTTTTATGCCTTACTATACTATGACATTTTTTGGACATTTTTATGCCTTACTATACTATGTTTTTTGACATTCTTATGCCTTAGTATACTATGACATTTTTTGAAGTTTTTGTGCCTTAATATACTATGATGTTTTTTGACATTTTTACGCGTTAGTATACTATGACATTTTTATGCCTTGCGTTTTTTGACATTTTTATGCCCTACTGTACTACGACATTTTTATGCCTTACTATACTATGACATTTTTTGACATTTTTATGACTTACTATACTATGATGTTTTTTGACATTTTTATGCCTTACTATACTATGATGATTTTTTGCCTTACTATACTATGACGTTTTTTGATGTTTTTATGCCTTACTATACGATGACGTTTTTGTGCCTTACTATGCTATGATGTTTTTTGACATGTTATACCTTAATATAATATGATGTTTTTTTACGTGTTATGCCTTTCTATAGTATGACATATTTATGCCTTACTATACTATGATGTTTTTATGCCTTACTATACTATGATGTTTTTTGACATTTTTATGCCTTAGTATACTATGACATTTTTATGCCCTACTGTACTACAACATTTTTATGCCTTACTATACTATGACATTTTTTGAAATTTTTATGTCTTACTATACTATGACGTTTTTTGAGGTGTTATGCCCTACTGTACTAAGACATTTTTATGCCTTACTATACGATGACTTTTTTTGACGTTTTTATGGCTTTCTATACTATTATACTTTTTGACATTTTTATGCCTTATTATACTATGATGTTTTTTGACGTTTTTAAGTCTTACCATACAATGACGTTTTTTGACGTTTTTGTGCCTTACTATACTATGACGTTTGTTGACATTTTAATGGCTTACTATACTATGACGTATTTTGACATTTTTGTGCCTTACTATACTATGACGTTTTTTGACATGTTATACCTTAATATAATATGATGTTTTTTTTACGTGTTATGCCTTTCTACAGTATGACATTTTTATGCTTTACTATACTATGGTGTTTTTATGCCTTACTATACTATGAAGTTTTTTGACATTTGTATGCCTTACTATACTGTGATGTTTTTTTCACATTTTTATGACTTACTATACTATGATGTTTTTTGACGTTTTTATGCCTTAATATACTATGACTATTTTTGACGTTTTTATGCCTTACTATACTATGACCTTTTTTTCACATTTTTATGACTTACTATACTATGACAATTTTTTGCCTTACTATGCTATGACGTTTTTTGATGTTTTTGTGCCTTACTATACTATAATGTTTTTTGACATTTTTATGGCTTACTATACTATGACGTATTTTGACGTTTTTGTGCCTTACTATACTATGACGTTTTTTGACATGTTATACCTTAATATAATATGATGTTTTTTTTACGTGTTATGCCTTTCTACAGTATGACATTTTTATGCCTTACTTATACTATGGTGTTTTTATGCCTTACTATACTATGAAGTTTTTTGACATTTGTATGCCTTACTATACTGTGATGTTTTTTTCACATTTTTATGACTTACTATACTATGATGTTTTTTGACGTTTTTATGCCTTAATATACTATGACTATTTTTGACGTTTTTATGCCTTACTATACTATGACCTTTTTTTCACATTTTTATGACTTACTATACTATGACAATTTTTTGCCTTACTATGCTATGACGTTTTTTGATGTTTTTGTGCCTTACTATACTATAATGTTTTTTGACATTTTTATGGCTTACTATACTATGACGTATTTTGACGTTTTTGTGCCTTACTATACTATGACGTTTTTTGACATGTTATACCTTAATATAATATGATGTTTTTTTTACGTGTTATGCCTTTCTACAGTTTGACATTTTTATGCCTTACTATACTATGATTTTTTTTCTCATTTTT